TTTTTGTTACAAATATTTGCACTGTAAAAATGATAAAAAAAGAAATTGTATTTTTAAATTCACCTCATACAAGTACTGTAGTGCAATCTCTTTGTTGTGACAGTTCAACTTACAATGTACATTTTCTGTGTGTTGCATAACTGCACTCAAAAACAAAACAGTGTAAAACTTCAGAGCCTACAAGTCCACTCAGTCCTACTTCTTGTTCAGCCAATTGCTAAGACAAACAAGTTTGTTTACATTTATGGGAGATAATGCTGCCCACTTCTTAATTACAGTGTCACCTGAAGTGAGAACAGGTATGGCACTTTTGTAGCCGGCATTGCCAGGTATTTATGTACCAGATACGCTAAACATTCATAGGCCCCTTCATGCTTTGGCTACCATTCCAGAAGACATGCTTCCATGCTGATGATGCTCATTAAAAAAATTTGTTAATTAAATTTGTGACTGAACTCCTTGAGGGAGAATTGTATGTCCCCTGGTCTGTTTTACCCATATTCTGCCATATATTTCATGTTATAGCAATCTGGGATGATGACCCAGCACACGTTCATTTTAAGACCACTTTCACTGCGGATTTGACTAAGGGCAAAGAAGGTACCAATGTGAGATTTCTAAAGATAGCTACAGCACTTAACCCAAGGTTTAAAAATCTGAAGTGCCTTCCAAAATCTGAGAGGGATGAGGTGTGGAGCATGCTTTCAGAAGTCTTAAAAGAGAAACAATACAGAAACTACAGAACCTGAACCACCAAAGAAAATCAACTTCTGCTGGTGATATCTGACTCAGATAATGAAAATGAACATGTGTTCATCTGCCGTGCTTTGGATTTATCAAGCAGAACCCCTCATCAGCATGGACGCATGTCCCCTGGAATGGTGGTTGAAGCATGAAGGGACATATGAATCTATAGCACATCTGGCATGTAAATATATTGCAGCGCCAGCTACAACAGTGCTATGAGAACACCTATTCTCACTTTCATGTGACATGAACAAGAAGCTGGCAGCATTATCTTCTGCAAATGTAAACAAACTTCTTTGAGTGATTGGCTGAACAAGAAGTAGGACTGAGTGGACTTGCAGGCTCTAAAATTTGTTTTATTTTTGAATGTATTTTTTTTACATAATTCTACATTTTAAGTTCAACTTTCATGATAAAGAGATTGCACTACAGTACTTATATTAGGTGAACTGAAAAATACTATTTCTTTTGTTTTTATACAGTGCAACTACTTGTAATCAAAAATAAATATAAAGTGAGCACTCTACAATACACCATACAACATGTAATTGAAATCAACTTATTTGAAAAAGTACATAAACATATTTAAATAAATGGTATTTTATTACTAACAGTGTGATTAATTGCAATTAATGTTTTTAATGACTTGACAGCCCTACTTTCTACTTCTACCATTCAAAACAAATAGCTGTGAAGTGTAATCTATAATGTCCGTTTTTAATTCTTATTTTGCAAATGGAATCAGAAAGAATGTAATGAACGAAAAGGTAAAAAGATGGAATGCAGAACAGGATTTTCATGCCCAGCGCGATGGCTGAGACGTGTCACTGGCTCTGGGCACGGCACTGTGGTCAGTTTAATCATTGTAATGACCATAGCAGGATGTGCAAAGAACTCACTCACGGCACTGCACGAAGAGAGGCAGTGTGCCCAGTGCTTATACAGTACAGGCCGTGGATGCCGGACTGTTATCTTTTCCGCGCTCTGCGTGGCCCAAGCCAAGGCTCCGTGCCTCAGTTTCCCCATTTGTAAAAGCGGGAGAACGAGCCTTTCCTCAGCGGCGTGAGACTGAACAGCAGCTGACAAGTGCTCGTACCAAACAGACCTGCGCCTCCTGGAGTCACCTCCCGCCGGGACCCGGGACTTTGGTCTACGGTCCCGGTAGGCTCCGCTGCAGCCGTGGGAGGTCACCCGAGCCCGCCTAGGCGGGAGGCGGGGCCGCGCGTCTGACGTGTGGGCATCGCTCAGCCCCGCCGGGCCTAGAGGCTTCGTCGCCGCCACCCACCCGCCCCTCAGCTTGGCCGCATGCGCGCAGCCTAGCGTGATGGCCAGGCCAACTGCACCACGGTCACGTCAGTACGTCATCAGGATGCGCCGGAGAGCGGAAGTGACGCGTTTGTCCCGCGCTGGCTGGCGCTGCAGCCTCTCTCCTTAGTCTCCGGCGGCGGGCGGTAAGTTTTGCGCTAGTCGCTTCCCCCGTGTGGGCCCTATGTTAGTAGCGGGGCTCGCTCTGGAGTGGGGCGCCGGGTGGGAGGAGGGTGTCGGGGGCCCAAGGACTGGCGTGAGGAGGGGGAGCCTGTGGGGGCAAGTGGGTCTCGGAGGCTCTCGCCGGGGGGCTTAATGTTGAGGTGCCTGAGGGGAGAGGGGAGGTAGAGATTGGGGACCGGTGAAGGGGGTGAGGCTGGATGGGAGCGGTGAGGTAGAGGAGCTTGGGGAACTGGCGAGGGGGGCGAGGCTGATGGGGGCAGGGGTGAGCCGACGAGTGAGACAGTGGGGAGCATGAGGTGATAGGCTGAGAGTGCTGCGTTGCGGGGTAAATCTGCACAGGAGTGTGGGGAGAGACGGGGGACCCTGGTGTCGCACTCAGAATTGATCAAACCATGTCCCTGAGTATTAGGAAATTGCTTGGGAAGTCCCCACACGCCTCCAAGAAGGGGTATCTGAAACATAGTTGCGGTTGATTTCTGGCTCTTAGTCCTGACTGGCTGGGAGTCTAGGGGCCAGCAGAACTTAATAAGACACACCTGGGAGTATCCTGCCACTGAAGAAGTGAGGCCAGGAGGATTCAGATGGCAATAGGGCTTGCACTGCCTACACACTGTTGCTTCTTGTGTGTGAATTTAGTATGCTACACATAGTACATAGTGAGGCACTCTTAATGCATAGTATAAAATCATTCTTTTCAAGAAAGAGGCAACAAATGGCAGGAGGGCAGCATGCATGGAAGCCCAAGCACTGAGGCTTTATTTATATGGGAAAGTCTTTTGGTATAACCTAAGGTGTGAATTTAAACAGATATAGTCATATGGCTATGACCTCCTATGTGGACACGCTTATTCCAGTTTCTTTGGTATAGCTTAAACTCCTTCCTCAATGACAAACTAAACCAAAACAAACACACTTATATTGAAATAAGAGGGTCCATGTGGAGGAACAGGTGTGTTACAACCAGTAACATTTTCCTATGTAGGCAAGGCCTGAAGCAGCTCATCCCACAAGAGAATCATAGCATGAAGTGCTTGTAATGTTTCCACTACCCTTTTACAAAGGAGGAAAAGATTGTCCTTGTTCCTTACCACCCCTGCAAAGTCATTATATATAGTATAAGTCATTTCTTCCCAGGCAACCTGCAGAGACCTCTCTTCTTTCTTTTTCTTGGAAGCCCTTGCTGCCTTACTTCAAAATGACCCACATTTGAAAAATATTTGAATATAGTACAGTTTAATTAAACAACATACTAAACCAGGATGTCTTCATTCAGAGTCTCATTTTCGTCTGTGACCCATTCAGATTAATTGTGGGTCGCATATCAGAGCCTAAGGGGGTAAAATATACCAGGATTCCTAATGAGGGCTGTCTGAAGAGGCAGAAATATTTTGACATCTTCTCGCTTCATCTGGCCTATTTTCACACACCCCTCTTGGGGGGAAAAAATATTTTGTGCATATTCTGTGGTGACAGACATGGATGCAAAAACGTGCACAGCTTTGCGACAAATTCCCCAAAGGCTCACTTCTGAATGTTTGTGACTATTTCAGCCACTTCTACTAGTGGGACTTTAAATATGAAACTAACTTTTACCCGTGTGTGCCTCCGAAAATTGAAATACACGTTTGAAACTATGTAAAGGTGTGCCTATACTGTGATTGAATCATTTTTAGAAGTAAGCCATGTTTAGCTGAAGACCGCCTGCCTAGGAGGGTTTGACCATGGTTATAAAATGTTTTTTTTTTTTTTTTAATTTGCACTGTGGTTGCTGTCCTTACTCATTACTTTAATACATTTTAAAAGTTGTGGTTCAGACAGGATCTTGTTCACTTAGTAACTGAGGCTTAATATATGCAGGAAATGAGACTAGTATGAAGTAGGAATAAAAACAGGTTGAAAAGGACCAAGGTTTGTTACTACTATTTGATGGCCATTATGTTACCTAAATGAAATTGATTAGTGGGTCTTAGTCCAGCTCTTTGTAGAGATGTGCCCACTGCTGGTACTGACATATTTGTTGACAGTCTCAGCAAAGAGGCCGCGCATTTAATGGGACTGAAGAGACAGAATTATCCTTTTAATTAAAATATATGTTTTCTGGTCAAACCCAAGACATGTAATTAGGGGATGTCCTTGCTATGTCTGTACTGTTGGATGAATAGAAAACTAGAGTTATCAGTCTAGCGGCAGCCTTATTCACTACCATCAAATTCATTTTTAAAAAGGCAGAAAGAGCAGAGTTTTTTGCCGACTGAAAATGTGGCATATGAACTGCAGTGGAAGGACTGTGCTGGTGACAGAGCAGCAGCAGCTCGAGGACAGATGGGGTTCAAAGCCTTCATAAATAATCGTGCAACCCCAGAAAATTACCTTTTTTCACAGCGCTAAAATAATAAGCCATAAGACTAGCACATTTAGGTGTCTTTGGATCATCATGACTGGCAAGATATGAGGCACTATTGCAGAAGTTGCACTGATTTAACTTAAGTTGATTTTTAAACCAATTTAATTAAACTGTTGCACAAATGGTGTAAATACTCTGATTTTAAACCAAACTTATTTTGGTGTAGCTTAAGTCAAGTGCTAACTAACTTGCTTTTACATAAGATTCTGTGAAACTTGGCACATCACATCATAATTTTTAAATGTTTATTTGTATATCGAAAGTGCATTTAAAACTTACCTAAAACATTGATGTAACCAATAGCATTGAATATATATATTTCAAATACATCTACCTCCATTAATGTGGTATTCTGTTTCAGTTTGTTCTGACTCAAATGGGTGATGAAAAGGACTCTTGGAAAGTGAAAACTTTAGATGAAATTCTTCAGGAAAAAAACGAAGGAAGGAGCAAGAAGAGAAGGCAGAGATAAAACGCATTAAAAATGTAAGCTGTCTCTTTGTAAATAAACAGTTCTAATTAAAGTGAGGAGGTTTAATTTTTTTTCCCCTCATTTTTCCATTAGAACAAGGCTTCCTCTATCACTATCAATGAAGTTCTTTTGTACTTCCATATTTAACAGGTGAGCACTATCTCTAAGTGTCAAAGCTTACCAAAATGTTGTGCTTTGTTAAAACCTGATTGGTAACACACTAGATCTTTTACTTTGCTTCACAGTTGTTGAAAAGTCTGTCTGAGAAATCAGCCTGGTTAATTGGAAGCTTTAGTTGCAGTATAATTAGACTATTTTGGCCTTTTTGAAATTTTATAGTGCTCCTGTTTTTAAAACTGTTCCTGATTGCAACAGAAAAAATGTTGGGCCCATTTTATCAAATGATTACATTTTTTTGCCCTAAATAATTTTTGCTTATTCTAATTAAAAAGGTGTTATAGGTGGTCATTATCACTTGTTTGTATTATTTGTTGAAAGATTTTGTCTTTAAAAAAACTACCATAAATTAGCATAGTCTTTGAGTTTTTGCAGGTTAGTTTTACTCAAGTAGACTGAATTTATATTGCTTCAGATATTACAACATATTAACTACATTTGATTGCGTGATAGCTATAATTAAAATCTGTACATTTCATAAACCACTGATTTTTGTTGAGTGTCCTATAGATCATTTGGCTTTATTGCCAGCAGTGGAGTTAAACATCAGTTTAAAAAAATACAGCTCACTGCAAGAGAAATTAGCTGCTATTTGTTTTTACCCTTCCTTCCTCCTTCCACCATAGTCTGATGATCGGGATTCAAAGCGGGATTCCCTTGAAGAGGGGGAGCTGAGAGATCACCGTATGGAGATAACAATCAGGAATTCACCTTACAGGAGAGAAGATTCTATGGAAGATAGGTAAGAATAGAGGAAGATAATGCTTCTGGATGTGGACATTGCCTTAGAAGTAATAAAATCTAAATGTTTTCTTTGTGTTGTGGTTAAAGCAGGTCTGCTGGGTTCTTTTTGATACTTACCTTGAGTCACTGAGATTCGTATATCTTAGTTTACCCATCTATTAAAAGCAATTTAATAATACCTCCCTACCTCACAAGAGGTTGAAAGGGATTATTGATTTTGGTAACATGCTCCAAACTCCTCAGATGAAAGGTGCTATGGAAGTGCTAAATATTATTAGATTAAATACTTATTCCTTCTCATAAAGGGTGGAAAAGGAGCAACAATTCATACTTTTATGATGAATTACCTATTACTTTCCTGTGCTTATTCATATAAATTGCATTTTAGAGGAGAGGAGGATGATTCCTTGGCTATCAAACCACCACAGCAAATGTCACGGAAGGAAAAAGCACATCACAGGAAAGATGAGAAGAGGAAAGAAAAACGTAGACATCGTAGTCATTCAGCAGAAGGAGGTATTGTAGCTGTTGTTTGCAATTTATATTGCACTAGCTCTTTGAGGTCAAGCTGATTGGGGCACATTGTGCAAGGTACTGTACAACCATAGTAAATGTCAGTTAAGAGAAGACATAACAAGTGGATGAGATTAGGGAGCTGGGGTGGAGGAAATGGAGAAAAACATTCTGAAAAAGAAATGTGAAATTCATAGGAATTCTTGCTCAGTAGTTTTATGTCTGACTCCTTCATTTCTTCTGTTACATTTAATCTGGTTAAGGGGTTTGTATGTTTGGTTCCCCTCTCACCCTGGAGGAGGGAAACCACTTTGCAACAGGGACCTTTTAGTCTGATCCTGCTGCCTTTGAAGTCCATGTTAAAACTTCCAAGGACTCCAGCGGTGCAGGATTGAGCCCTTTGTCTTAATACCTATCCATAAAGCTCCTAACATGCTGTTGCTATAAAGTAATACATAATAATAAACCTTGCTTTTCTGTTGTTGGTAAACTTTATATTTTTAGCAAGTTTTTATTATCATTTAATTTTATTTACAACACAGTTCTAGGTCAGGATTTTGCTAGTACATACTAAGACCAGAACCACAAAGCCCTTAAAATTAGTGCTTTACTCTACCCTGGTTTGTTCTTTTGCTTTTAAAGAATAGGAACATCTTGACTATAACAATCTAGCATTTATTTTTATCTTTATTATTAGGGAAGCATGCCAGGGTAAAAGAGAAGGAACGTGAGCATGAACGTAGGAAAAGACATCGAGAAGAGCAGGATAAGGCTCGACGTGAATGGGAAAGGCAGAAGAGGAGGGAAATGGCTAGGGAGCATTCCAGGAGGGAGAGGTAAAAATCCAACCCTTACTCTGCAACACCCAAAGAAATTCAGTTAGATCAGTGCCATTACCCCAGTGAACATGCGGTGTAATAAGAGGCTGGGATCTCACCTGCATATAAGCACCTTTTGAAGTGGCGTCATTACCGGATATCTTTCTAACACTAAAGACTCTGTTTGCTGCTGTTGTGCCGTAATAAGTAATTGGTGAACAAGTCAGTTCTCAAGAATACAGTGGGCTTCCAAGGCTTATTTAAAAAAACAGCTTTTTAAGCCTACTTATTTTTTATTTAAATTCCGACAGACTGCAGAACCTTATTTTAAGGTGGTCCCAACACTCTGTGCCAACTGATAAAGAAAGGCAGACTAGAGCAAATCTGTTTTAAAAGATTAATGTCTGCCTCTGTAAAGGACTGCTTGTGCTATTGGCAAGTACACAATGATACCACAATTTGGTTGTTAGTTGGCACTGAAATTGAATAACTTAGTAGTCTATTATTGCAATAGTAACAGGTTTAGATTACAAAAACAAAAGCCCAGACTTCAATTATATAAAATAGGCAAATGAATGTTTCCAGGGATCGTCTAGAGCAGCTTGAGCGAAAACGAGAACGGGAGAGAAAAATGCGAGAGCAACAAAAAGAGCAAAGGGAACTAAAAGAACGGGAAAGGCGAGCTGAAGAAAGGCGCAAGGAACGGGAGGCCAGACGAGAAGGTAACTAGCTCAGTGTAAACAGTAAAAGGGGGTGTTAAATGGAACAACAGTGGAATTTAGATCAAACAAACATCTCTCTTATATAGGCCAATGCCAGGGTTTTATTTAAAAAAAAAAAGAGAGCGAGTGAGTGTCTGGCTTCTTTATTAGTCATGAACAAGAGGACAAAATCGCACATGGGGATAAAGAAAGCAAGGTCTTTGAGCTTGCATAGCTTGTTCTGTACTGTGGAACTCAGACCTATTGGTATTGAAGCAGGCCATTAGTCAGTTTTCAATAGACACTGTATCCTTACCTGTTCTTTATTTACGTACAAGATAAACTTTTTACGGGTCATTGATTTCCACTTACAGTGGTCAAACTGGACCTGAAATGTTTCCAGTTTGCAGAATATTTTACATCCCTTACATCACACATTTAGGTGACAAATGATTAAAATGAGGGATTAAGTGTTTTTGATTTGTGCCTAGATCGAGGCACCGGAGAAAATAAGGACACTCCCCATTTATTTTTTATCTTGGATGCCAGTATTACCTTACTGTGACTCTTGTTTTGTAATCAGTTCTCATGCTGTTAGTCTCTCATTTGCACTTTGTACTAAACTAAGGGGGACTGTAGCCTTTTAAGAATCTTGATCTGCAAAAAGACAAAACATTTAAGGACTTAAGGAAATTAAACAACATGGTATGGAACTTTCTGCTGCCAATGTGAGAGAGAGTGGTTAGCTTAGGTGCACACAAACTTGGGCTATTGCAGCATTGTTAACGGTATAGAGTAAGCATTTTAATAGAGGTTTGCATTTTAATAACTTTTCCAATGTCCCTCTATTTGGTGCTTCTGAAAGTGAGACTAGAACCAGGAAAATTGCAGGGAGACGTTATGCAAGTGTCCCTTATATGCATCTTTGCCACTGCATCTCAGTCCTCAGCTGCAACACCCTTGCTGTTTCAATACTGGTCCATTCTTAGGCAGACTGCCATGTATGCCAAATTGTGTGGTAGCTGTATGATGAGAGGCATTGTGGTATAGTGGATAGAGCACTAGACCTGAGTTTGGGGGAACCTGGATTCTGTTCCTGGGTCTGCTACTAGCCTGCTAGCTGATCTTGGGAAAGTCACTTCATCTCTATACCTCAGTTTCCCAACCTGGAAAATGAGGATAATGACATTTACCTGCTTTGACATCTGCATGCTTCAGATATACTTAAAAGGGTATTGTCAGGTAGTTTCTCTCTTTAGGTTTTTATACAGTGCCCATTAATAGAAATGTTTTTGAGATTTTGAAAAAAATCAGAAACTTTTTTTAAGCAATCTCTTAAACTTCATGAGAAAAAGTAAATTAAATTTACTATACACAAATTAGTCTCGCTTAAATGTTTACATTGAATAAAATACAGAAAGCAAACACTAAATAAATAGTTAATTCAATTTTGCAAAATATTTCAATAATATAAAGTGCTCTAGTAACTAGAAATTAGGAATTGCCTAGACAGTATGGCAACTATGGCATTAAAATACCTATATAGATTCCACTATGGTGGTCAAAGATTGATCTACCTAAAGCCATCTCTCTAGAGGTTGCAGTTGATGGACTGTACTTTTTACGTTTCTTATGAAGCTTCTGCATGAAATAATATATTAAATTCATGTGGCACCTTCTGTCCCCAAGTTCCCACACACTCTTTATAAACTTAAACAATGCACAGGGATCACTTCATCCGCCTCTGAAACATAGCCACCCCTGGGATGAAATGTGGCAGCTTTTGAACAGCTCAGAGCAATTCAGGACAAGAAGTGAAGAGGATATGTCATAGTCACTTGAAACTTCAGAGGGAATGTGTACAGGAAGAATGTAGTTACAGGAAGGAGTTTGGCCAAATAATGGAAGAACAGGGTTATAAGAATGTGGGAATCAACATATAAACCTTTTTACTGAAACGTGAAAAAATTAGTACAGTTTTGCAAATATTGGTGTATGACTGTCATAGAAAGGCAATGGAAGGGAAAATACTATACATCTTTCATTACTCTCTTTGGAAGGTTATTCTATAGTCCTGTAGGTCTCATTTTCTGAATTTTTTTCCAAATATTTGGCCTAAAATATTTCTTAATTTCATCCCTGTTACTCCTTACTTGTATTCTCTTTCATCATGCTAAACAATTCCTTTCTCTTCTTGATATTTACACCATTCGAGTATTCATTGACAATTATCCTGTCTTCCAACTTAGTCATTGCTTAGCCATTTTCACCTTATTTAGTGTTTGTTGGTTCCTCGTGAATCAATCCCTCCTGCCTCTTAACTTTTTAATTCTTTTCTGCACCTCCCCCAGTTTGTCTACTTTGTTTTGGTAATGAGCGCTCTGAAATGAATGTAATATTGCAGATGTGGTCTCGAAGAGTGGTAAAGAGAGGGATTCGCACCTTCTGACCCTAAGTTATGATGCCTCAGTATATATAGCCCAAATATGTATTAATTTTTTTTTACTGCTACATTCCATTTTAAAATGGCACAGTAAGTCCTTATCCAGATCATTAGCTATCACCAAAATCTTTATTTATTTTTTTTTTTTTTGGGAGGTGCAGTTAGGGTTCTTTTCCTTTTAAAAAAGAAATAAAAATGGTGCCTCAGACAGCTTGCCATGAAAGAGGAGAACCTTTGTAATTAGTAATGTAATGCCTTTTTGTTTTGTTTTTGGTTTTTCACTAGTTTCTGCACATCATAGAACAGTGAGGGAAGATTATGGAGACAAAGTAAAAATAAGAACCTGGAGTCGCAGCCCATTACGACAGCAAAGAGAGAAGCTTGAGCAAGGAGATGGCAGGAAGCCAGGTAATGTTTGCGCTTGGGAATGTGCCATTGCATGACAGTCAAAAGGACCTGCTGGGGGAAAAAGGTGTCGGGGGAGGGCTTTATTTTGTCTGCTAAAAGGAATTCCATGATACTTCCTTGAAAGTATCACTCAGTTTGAGAGACAAATGGTGGCATGGTACCAAAGTATGAATGAGGAATGGCAAATAAACTATTATCCGGATGATTTTGCTGATGTTTGCAGGGACCCCATATAATATGCTGTTAAACTCAATCATTCTTTCCTTTTTAGTAATAACAAGTCTTGAGAAATGCTCACTAATTTCACTAAACATTTATTATGCCTTGTCTAACTGCAGGGTATATTTTCCACTGAGCTTTGGTGCATTGACTGTTGCATAATAGGTATTTCACCGTAATTGTGTCCATACATCCAGCTGTTTACTACTTCAATCTAAATCATTACGTCCACATGGCAGGGACTTTTCTTCATAGTAAGTGTGCACATTCTGGGAGGGTATCCCATAGTGCTTTCCCTTGCTGGGTTGCATTCTGGGACTTCTCTCACAGCACATTGTGGGTTACATAGCAGAAGCCATCTGGAAGCAACTGGAATTCTGGGACGTGAAGTCAAACTCACAAATTTCCATGACCAGTCCTGCCATCCCATGATTCATCTTTTTATTTTTATTTTTTTTGTGAGCCAGCCCTATTTTCAGATTGCTGTCAGCCAGAACTGTACTCCACATCGCAATGCTGACAAGAACAAATATGCAGAAGGAGATGGAGATGTATTTGAGATCTTGCTGCCAGGTGGCTTTTGCTTTGGAAGTCAGCTGTTGCACCTCAGCTATTGGCTGGTAGCAAGCAAGGATGGCAGGCATCCAAGTGGCAGTGGTCACATAATACTGAACACTTAAGGGAGCTCTCATGTTGGTGCGCTGCAGCTCTGGGATGAGCTCTGTGCAAATCTCTAGGAAAGTGGCCTTTGTCATCCTAAAATTATGTAGCCACTGCTGGCCATCCCAGGTTTGTAGAATGTTTCCCACCGGACAATGCTTCTTACCTGAGGCCAGAAATGGTGCTGCACTGAGTGAAGCTACTCCAAGAAAAGTTCATCTCCAAGCAGCTGGTTGGTCTCCTCTTCTGGTATCTCTTCCAGGAGGCTCTCAAGAGGTTTCTAAATATTGCCTTTTTTGCCCTGCATTTCTTCCCCCTCAGGTTTCCCAGGCAGTCAGATGCTCACTGCTCTACAGCCAAAATGCTTCTGAAATAAATGTAGTCAAACTTTACTAATTCTGGGT